TCTTTGCATTGGAGACGTCATATCACTTGGCCAAAAGACCAGTTAAGCCAGCATCAGACATAATCTTGTACCTTTGGTTGAGGACCAGAGAAAAGACTTGGTTTGAATTTGGAGGGCAGGTGAGAGGACAAACATAAATCTTTAAGTCCGAGAATCCCACTTTGCCTGGGAAGATAGTTGTATTAGAAACTAAGAAACAGAGGTCTACGGTGTTCCATTTCCCATCTCACACTCAACCTGGAGACACAGAATGCTCTACGCTCATTCTCAGAAATGGACTGTATGATTTGATTTGTTATTGCTTTTTATATATATATATTTTAATACAAGAGCTCTCTCTGTTGCCCAGGCTGGAGTGCAGTGGTGCAATCATGGCTCACTGCAGACTCGACCTCCTGGGCTCAAGCGATCCTTCCACCTCAGCCCCCCAAGTAGCTGGGACTATGGGTGCACACCATCATGCCAGGCTAATTTTTATTTTTATTTTTGCAAAGACAGAGTCTTGCTATGTTGCCCAGGCTAGTTTCCAACTCCTGGGTTCAAGAGGTCCTCCCACCTTGGCCTTCCAAAGTGTTAGGATTACAGGCATGAGCCCCTGCACCCAGCAATCCTCATTTTCTTTTGGTTGAGCATGATTAGTTGATTTCACATATGTTAAGAGCATGTATGATAAAGTTACACTGTACTCTGCTCTTTGGAGAGTTAATATACGAAGCTTATTATCCTTAGATAATATAGTGGATAAAAACATAAAAAAGCTCAAAAAGGGTTTAAATCAATTCACAGATGTCAGAGTTATAGCTAGTTCTTAAGAGACAATTAACTTTACAAAATACTCCTCAGTGATGTTACTGTTAGAGAATAGAGATGTAATTACCCGTCATTCCTACTGAACTCTGACACTACATATGTGTGCACATTCCCTGTGACCTCCCCCAGACATTTATTATCTTTCTCCCATCCTTGTCCCTACTCACACCATTTTTTCTCACCATTATCATCACCCTACAGGTAATCACTTTGTTTCTTAGTTATCTTTCCAGAGTTGCTTTATGCAAATACAAGCAAATAGGAAAAGACCTTATCTCTTCTCCCTTTCTTACAGAAAATGCAGCATGTTCTATTGTTTTGCCCTTTGAGTTCTGTGTAACAAAGCATTCTGCAACTCTTTATCATTAGAAACTCATTTTTCAACATTACTGCACTATATTCTGTTGTATAAATATATCATAATTTATTTAACTAGTTCCTCTTTGGGTGGACATGTGGATTTCTTTCCTCCATTCTTTCTCACAATTGTGAGCAATGCTACAAGAATAACCTTGTACGCATGTACTCTCTGACATGTACATATGTATCTTAAGACAAAGTCCCATAAAAGGGACAGCTGTCTCAAAGGGTACCTTCATCTGAAACTTTGGTTAAGTACTGCCAAATTCCCTTTCATAAATATTGTACTCTTTTGTACCACACGCAACAAGGTATGAGAGTACTTGCTAACACTTCAGTTCTTAGCATCGAGTATAGAAATGTAGCTTCTAGGGATAATGGGTTCTATCAGCTTACTCCTCAGCACTCAAAGAAGTCATATTTCTATAGAAGTCGATAAGATACAAGGCACAGAATTGACGAGGATGACAGCCACCTAGTCTTTTGAAGCTTTATGTAGGTTCAAACTAGGAAAACCTTATGAAAAATGTATAAGACAGCCTCTTTGTAACGCTTCTGCTGAGGCCTATCCCCATGCCGGAATCCAAGTGTTCTGTCTCCTATGTGCATACCAGCATTGGAATAGGGTCCCTGCTTCGACTAACACAGCAAGATTAACTTCATTTGGAAGTGCCAGTAGCTGCCTGGCCCAGGGCAATGGCAAGGTAAGTAGCAGGCTTTGGAATTACGCCTGTCTGGATTCGCGGCTCCCCTTACGCATGTGACTCTGGGTAACTCATTTGGCAGACTGGAGTCTGTTTTCTAGACGATGAAGATGGGAATACTAATCCTCATACCTTTCTGGACTGTCATAAAATAAAAGGAATCACGTATGGGAGGCTGCTTAGTACATAACAGTATTCAACACTAACTTTGCCTTTCTGAAAATAGAGAACTGGGAAGAAACACCTCAAAGGGCTTCTAAACATTAACATTTATGTCACAACTTCTGTATGTTAAAGCTTTCTTATTTTACTCATAGAAGAGGCTCTAAAAGTCAACTTAGTATTGTCCTACATGTAACTCCAACATGCTTTGTTGTTTGGCTTCTCTGTCTATATTCAAGTGTAAATACAGATGCCAAAGTTGTTAATTGGTTGAATACAGAAAAGCAGAGATTAAAAAATATTGTTAGAAAAAGCCACCACTGCTACCACCACTAGCAGCAACCTCAATAACAGTGGTGCTTAGAAGGCTGGGGTAGGCACATAAATAGTTAGAGCCTCAGCATATGGCCACCTCAAGGTTAAGTTGTCAAGAAAAGGTCAACTGTCTTCCTGGTGTGCACAGAGCAAGCCAATGGGCAATGCATTTATTTCCTCCCCCCCGCCAGTTTAACTAAAGTTTTGAGGTATCTCTGTAATAAAACATTGAATTTTATGAAGATTTACATCATAAAATGTAAAATCCATTTTCTTTGGCACTTAAAGGTGAAATTTCAGTTATCTGGAAAATTAATTAACTCAAATAATTTTAATTTGCACGAATTTAATCAATATTTATTGAGTGTCCACTATGTGTTCAGTATTGTGCTAAGTGCTTATTTGGAACAAAAATTGTCCCCTACATTCTAGGTAAAAATGTACCATCCAAAGCATAGTCCAGATTTATGTTAATTTTTCAGTGAGTCTTCATGAGAGGTTTATTATCATTGTAACTGATTTTAATTTTAGAGCCTTCTGGGTTCTATAATATATCCTTCTTCCAAAGAAAGTAGAGGGATAAAATTGTTGAAACAGCAAATGTGAAGTTGAAATCACTTGACAGTCTGAGAATCTTACATATCTACTTGAAACTTCAGTTGTAATAAACACTTTTGACTCACAAAGCTCATTTGTCAGCCTTATATAGTGAGTGCAATTTACTTAGCTAATTTCACTAGTAGATTATGTTCTTTCAGGGCACAGAGAAATAGGAATCATAAATATGCCATTACTGCCTGCTTTTGTATCTCATTTCACAGCCTCATAGCTTAGAGAAAATATATTTGAAAGCACAAATTAATTGTACCTATTTTCTAGAAGTACTTCAAAATGCTATCTTTTATTAGAGATACCAAATCTACTCAGTGATAGAATTTCAGTAGATACATATTGGTATTATGCAAACATAGTAACAACAGTGATAATTATAGCAGTTACTCTGTAGTGCTTACTCTATCAGGTATACTGAGATCCTTGAATGGATTACCACCTTTAATCTGCTGGGCAGATTAAAGGCATTGCTTTAATTTCAGAGAAGGCACTGTTATTATTCCCATTATATAAAGGTGAAAACTGAGACTTGAAGGGGTAATTTTGCTCACATTATTCATGTTCCTATTTTAGTTAAATTGGGGTCCTTACCTGGACAATCCTACACTGCCATGGCAATCCTATTTATGCCATGTAAGGTTTACTCATTCAAATTCAGCAAAGAAACAGAGTCCCAGCTATATGCAGAAATAATCTTTACTTGCTGGCCTTAAGTTTTACTACCATAGGAGGTAAGAGGCTTAAAACATAATATGAAACACATGATAGAGTTATAAGACTTGTTTCTAAAAGTTGATTTCGGAATCACTCCCCTCTCCACAATGTCTGGGGGTAAAAATTCACTATGAGTACTTTCTCTAAACTCTTCAGAGATTTCACTTTGCCATATATACTCATGAAAAGCTGTATCCTAAAATGTAGTATCCCCATCTACCCTGCCACTCCCCAAACTCTTAGGTGTGACAGTATTCAACAGTATCAAAGTAACTACTGAAGTTGACAAAGGCACTTTTCTTCCATAGAACCTCCAGCCATACTATTATTACCTAATTTGTACTCTTAACATCTAAAGACAGTTATTGGCATTATTAGAAGACTTTATTGAAGGGAGATGTAGACAGAATCAGAAAAATGAGTTCAAAAATCTAGGGAGGTCAATGAGAAAATCCAGGGATTTTTTTCCCCCTTACTCTTTTCATAACTTCAAAATGTTCGTGTCATCTGATCAGGAACAACTGCAACCATGTAGCTTGCCCTATTTTGGCTATCTGGCTTCAAAAATACTTTCCCTGGAAGATCATTGTAATTCAAATCCATTCAGTGCTGCTTCACTTTTGTAATTTTGTTAGCTAAGTTTAAGTAGTGTACCCTGCACCTACTTTAATGATATAGCACATTGATAACATTTTTCCTCATTTAAAGCCATGTTTACCCACAGAGCTTTAGCACCAAAAAAGTTCTAAAAGGCACTCCTTACACATTTAAATAATCTGAACAAATAATTGATACAGGTTAAGCCCTGGCTAGTTCTGAGTTTTCCAAATTAAGATCACAGAATGCAAAAACTGCACATTAAAAAAAAAAAGTTGGCAGAATATATTTCCACAGGGCAGAATATACATTCAAGGTCACAATATGCCCATTCATTCCTTACTCCAACATGTAATACACAACCAGGCCGATTTCCAACTGAATTTTGCCTTAAGTTTTCTTAAGGGAATGATGGAAACTTTATTACAAAAGATGGTAAAGTTGTCTGTGACAGGAAAATCAGGAGGTCAACAGAGGTAAGAGGAGAGGTGTCTAAATGGAAGTGAGAATCAGTAAGTTGCTAGTGAAAATCTAACTCACTTAGGTAATTTTTAAAGACCCTCAAAATAAGGGAAGAATAAAAGAGAAATTTAAAAGAAAACAGAAACAGCCAGAGGTGAGACACAGACATTTTGATGGGGGGGTTGTCTAACTACACAATGAGGTCATCCCATCTCCCGGAAGTGACACGTAATCACCTGCTTTGCACTAGCTCCGCCCCTTCCCTCAAAGGTCCCGCCCCTCCACCAGCAGCCGGCAGAGTGTTAGGGGGCGTTTCTCCAGAAGGAAAGCTGTGAGCTGCGACGCTGAGGAAGGGGACCCCAAAACGTCTGGCACTGCCCCCTCCAGGGATCACTTTGGACCGCGTCACTCGGCCCAGCCGGATTCTGAAACGCCGAGGGGTCAACCTGATGGGTTTCGGGGTCAACGGAAGAGGGGAAGGGGAGCCCTGGCGGGGAGAACCCCCCGGTCCCCCGCCCAGCAGCTGAGGCACAGGAGGGCGGCCATCTTGGCCGGGAGGGTAGGGCTGGGGAGCTGCGGGCGCCGTGCGATTGGGGGGCTCGCCCGGAAGTGACGCCAACTACCCGGAAGCGGAGGGGGTTCCCTGGCCCACTCCCCCCTCGTTCGTTTGCTCCCCCGCTTCCTCCCCGCCCCCCTTCCTCTCCATTCGTTTCCCCCCCTCCCCGTTCCCTGCCTTCTTCCCCCCCCCGCCGTCCCTCCCCCCCAACCTCCGGAGCTGGGAAGAGAGTCAAGATGGCGGCGAAATCCGATGGCGGTGGCGTGGGGGTGGGCTTCGCTCAGCTGCACAACCTGGACGAGGCGGTGGGCAGCGGCGGCGAGGAGGACGGGGAGCCCGGGGGAGGCGGCTGCGGCGGCGGCGGCGACGGCAGCGAGCCCGGCGAGAGCAGCTCGCTGCACATCTGCCACTGCTGCAACACCTCCTCGTGCTACTGGGGCTGCCGCTCCGCCTGCCTGCGCTCCCTCCTGGGCAGGAAGCCGCGCCGCAGCGCCGCCGCCGACGGGGGGGACCAGCCGCTGCAGCCTCCCGCGGCCCCCGGCGCCGACCGCCAACCCCCGACGCCCTCGGCCGCGCGGCCGCAGCCGCCGCAGGTGGAGCGGCCGTGGCTCGACTGCCTGTGGATCGTGTTGGCGCTGCTCGTGTTCTTCGGGGACGTGGGCACCGACCTGTGGCTGGCCCTCGACTACTACCGCAAGGGGGACTACGTCTACTTCGGGCTGACCCTCTTCTTCGTGCTGGTGCCGTCGCTGCTGGTGCAGAGCCTGAGCTTCCGCTGGTTCGTGCAGGACTACACGGGCGGCGGGCTGGGCGCCGTGGAGGGGCTCAGCAGCCGGGGCCCCCCCATGATGGGGGCCGGCTACGGCCACGGCGCAGCGGTCTCGGCCACGCCGGGGGCGCAGCGCCTGTGCCGCCTCTCCGTGTGGATCTGGCAGTCGGTCATCCACCTGCTGCAGATGGGGCAGGTGTGGAGGTAAGAGCACTACGGGGTGGGGGCGGGCCGGCCCTGCGGAGACCCCTCCGTCCTCCCAGTGCCTCGCGGGGCGGCCTCTCGGATGGGCCGGGCGCTGGGGGTTCCAAGGAGGGACTGCCGCGCGCCGCCCCTGGCGTCTCCAAAACACCAGCGTTTGATCTGGATCCCTGGCCACGCCTTTGGTCAGGGGAGGCCGAGTCCTGCCGTTGGCCCGTCCTCGTCCCCGCTTCGCACTTGGCGGGTCCCCTGCCCCGGCCCTCCCCGCCTCCTCTGCAGACCTCCGTTCCCGGGCGCCCCTTTCCCTTGCCTCCGGAGGTAACCAGCCGCGGTCGCCCTGGGCTGCACTCCGGCTCGCGGCCCGGTGGAGCCTTCCCTCCTCCAGCCTCTGCACTCGGGTTTTTTCCCGGGTGAGACATCCTCCCCTCTTTTCCCGTTCTCCCTCTGCAGTGGCCTGCGTGGGGCCCTGTGGAAAAACCCTCGCTGCCGCCTCCGAACACTCCTGGATTCCACGCCCCTTCCTCCTCCTGCACTCCCAGCCCCTGCGAATGACTCCAAACCGATGCCCTCCCAGAAGGGAAAAAGATTTTTTTTTTTGGTGTACTGGATTAGACGTGTCCTTTTCTTAGTGACAGGTAAAATTGGGATAAAATATGATGGGGCGAGCGTTTGGTGTTTACTCTCACCTCCAGAAAACCAATTAGCCACCTGGATACCTGTTCCGGGGAAACAATGTTTTTGGTAGTCAGGCCAGTGTGTAGGTGATTTACATTTACACAAGACCCAAGCTTGGCTTTGCGGCTCTTTACCCTTTTGTAAATTTCCGGTGTGGCAGTTCAGTCCCTCCCAAATCACTTGCAGGTGCTCCTTCTGTCAGGAGCCTTTATTGACTGCCTCACTGGCTAAACTGAGGCAATGAACCCATTCTCACCTGGGTACATCTGTACCCTCTTACTTAAATTAGCTTATGTGTCTTCTGGAAACAGTGAGTTGTAGGTGAGAGCATTTACTGGAGATAAATTACACGGGGACAAGCTCTTCTAGTGCATGGCCTCTGTGAGAAGACATTTTGCCTAGACCGCCCTGACTCCTAGCCTAGTAAGAGATTTTAGGCACTTAGTAGTTCAAGTAAGAGATACACCTAGGTTAGCTGAAATAAAGTATACTGTCTTTTCTATGATTTGCGCAGATCTCTATTTGGAATTTATTTAAATAAAAGCGCTCCAGAAACCATGGGATTGAATTAAGTCAAATCACGAGAGTGGACGCAAGAACTTTGTCCTGCAGTTCACATGCACATTCACGCTAGGGGAAGTGAGGGTGGTTCGGTACGCCCAGCACCACCCGGAGCTGTCTACTGGCCTTTGTAGGCTGAACCAAACAGCTTTTTCTCTAGCTGCATTTGTCTGCAGACAATTTGTTTCCTGCTGATAAGTTTATAAGAAGTGAGGGAATAAAACAGGAAAAGTGCTGATTAACTTTTGGCTGTTATGAGCATAGCTTGGGGTCAAATAAAATTCTGAAATACGTTTTAAAATTGAAATATCAATCCCCAAACACTCACACACCCAAAGTCATACGGAATCAAAGGTAGTGTGTTTGGTACTGGAGATACCTTTTTTTGGAGAGGGGTGTTTCTGGTTAAGATACCAGGAATGAAGTGGGGAGGGACAAAAAGTATGGGAAGAGAGATTTTAACATACCAGTAGAATTTAGCAGCATGTGAAGAGAGATTTTAACATACCAGGAGAATTTAGCAGCATGTATTGGTAGGCTTCTGCTGAACAAGCCGAAGGCAGCTATCTCCATGTGGTAAACTTCTAAGTGTGAGCTATAAAAATGTTGGTGTCAGGTTAAAATTCCTGTGAGAACTCTTTCTAATGGAATCTGTCCTGGACATTTATTAGTAGTAAGCTTTGAGACAGAATGAAATTGGAGTAGACTAAATCCCCACCTCCATTCACCTAAACCTTAATTGTATCTGGGCAAAGTAGAAGTCCAGATTGTAGGACGAACTGAAGAGCACACTGTAAATGTCAGCTGAGCTTTTGCAGTTGTATGTAGAGTAGTACTTTTTTTTCTGATCTTAACTTTCATCTGCAGTGATACAGATACGTTTTTGAAGTGCCTGTGACTTTACTGTCTAGTTTTTTTTACTTTTTTTTTCCGAGATTAGAGTATATGGCTAAATATTTTCTAAAGTTATTAAAAGACATGCTAATTTTGCTAAGTTTTTTCTTCTAACATAGCTGTACTTCAGAAGCAGTGTTTACTGAGGAAGGAGTCTGTTTTTGGATTTTTTTTTTCTGTTAGCTGGTTTTGCTTGAAATACTCCAGGAGCAAGGTCTGCTGTCCGCTGCTTTAGTACCTGCTGGCGTGCTGTTTGCACTGAAGTCATTCATCTGTAAAAGCTTTAGAGGGACTCTTGTTTCACTTTTTTGCCAAACAATTGCTTGTCAGTGTGTGTGGATACACATCGTCTGTTTTACTGCAGGTCTTTTGGGGTTATAGTTGCTTTTTGTAATCATTTTTGCTGTTGAAACTTTGCTGTGTCTTATGGTCACATGACGTAAACTTTAAGATCTAGTATTTCTATCATTTGGTTTGGGCCGCATCTTTAAGAAAAGATATCAGTGAAGTTGTACATTGTCAAAACTGATTCCATTAAACCATGAATACTTGTCTCTTCGCATTTTTTAAAGTGTAAAATTACTTGGTTATAGGTTGGACATAGCACAACGCCTGTTTAATAAATTTAGGTTCCCTCAATATTAAGGTGGGGCACTTCTGTGCATCTTGCCATTGCTGTCAAGATGGCAAATACTTGATATGTTTTATCAAATGACTTTACAGAACGTAAGAAAATATTTCTGGCTGGGCTGAAATTGGAGCATGGAAGAATGGTGGTCTGTAGCATTAATGTGGTCTCATGAACCTGCTCTGCAGAGCAGTAGTGTGTGATTAAGGTCTTTTCATGCATGCCTTGCTCTCACTAATTACTAAACATGTAACCTCTGTACAGCTTGATGTGCTTTATTTCTCAGGTGTTTTTCGTGGGGATAACAGGCATATGAATCACTTACTCTAGGAGCATGAGTCACATTGGGCTTCACATTTGTACAATGTGTTGTTAATAGAGCATTTTCCTGGAGGGTTTGGCGTTAGGAACAGTGTGATTTCGTTTGCCTGTTGCATTGATGTATTCAGGTTTTCCCCCCAGTTATTGTCCTTTCTCTGCTTTTGTGTTACTTTTAGAGGTTGCTTAGTGCATTGTCAGTTCTCTTCAGTCTAGAAGCAACAGTGCTTTGACCAGAATGTCATGGCCACATCATTAATCTCCCATTTAATGAATTTAGTTTTATGTGCATGTTTGCACTCTAATGTTTCAGAATGAAAGGAATTTACTTCTCTATACAGCTTGCCATATTTAAGGGGATGGTCAGTGGTTCTTTATCTTGTGAGAGGGGATGTGGGAGAAGGTTGCCTTCAGGGGATTAAAAAGGAAGAGGCATTTTGCATTTCGTGATGGCAGTATCCAGCTGAGCAGCCTACAGTTCTGTTTTCAGCGTCGTTTTCTGATTCAAGACTGGTGTAATTTGGGTATGCAAATCTCCACACAATCAGTGGTGAACTTGCTGGGCTGGTGAAGATGCTTTATTATTATTTTTTAATCGCTCGCCTGCCCTCCTCTCTGCTCCTCTGTGTATGGATACTTAGTCTATTATGGGTCTTTGTTCCTGTGGAATGTTTTAGAGTAGTGGTTCTTAGTTCTGGCTGAGAATAGAATCCCTTGCAGCTCATAAAGAAACAGAAAAGCCCAGGCACTGCTGGACCTGCTGAAGAATACTCCCCAGGGAGGACCCAAGAAGTCATAGTTTTAGAAGACCCACTGGTGATTACATGGGCACCTCGGGCTTGAGAAACACTTGGATTTCAGGCTGATTCTATTTGGAGAGGGATGTAAGATGTGTGTTCTTAATAAATGATGGCAGAATTGGGAAGGGAATGATCTTGGTACCATTAAATTTGGCCCCTGGATAATACCATAACAAAGGGACTTTAACCTGGAAGCATGAATATCTAAATGTACTTGGGGCTTACTCACGGGTATGCACTTATGTTTTCTGTTTGTTTGTTTTTTTTTTTGAGCTCAAGTATTAATCTCATTTTGAATGAATTCCCAAATTCAAAGCAGTTTTCAATAAACATAGCCCACTTCTCTTTGCCTTTTATGGGATACAAATAATGTTTATGTTGTGTGTTAAAAGTGTAATGATACTGTTTAATTCTGAAATGATTCCATTAAATAAGCTTGAGGAAGCATAACTGGGATTATGAGTGGTGTTGAGATAAGTGATCTGTAATGTCCCTCTAATGCTAAGATTTTCTGGTTTAAGAATGGTAATATCGTCAATATTAAGATATCTACAAATAGGAGATTCATATGATGGGGCCAGGTTCTATCACAGACACATTAATAGATTGTGTACATGTGGGGTGTGTGTGTGCGTAGAGAGTTTTATAGTCTTATTAATAGGTGGGAATCTCATTGTAAAAATAGTATATATTTTTTCATTTTAACCATAAACTTAATGGAATTCTGGTTAAAAAGAAACTCATGGAACCATAAACAATGGAATTCTGGGATTTTTCTGAGCGGAAAGTTGAGTAAAATTGATCTGAGGAAAGTATAAATGTGTTTGAGTCGTCAAAAAAGCTTTGAAAAATGTTGAGTTTTGCCTGTTGAGGAAGTGGATGTGCTGTAATGTGTCAATAACTAGACCACTGTGCCAAAAAATGAAGCGGGTGGGTCATGAGGGAGAAAAGAGAGTCCCACAGAATTGATATGTTTGTGAGGATTTAGTACATGGTGAAGGTGGCAGTGCTAATCAGTGGATGGAGAAAGAATCATTTAACAAATGAGGTTGGCAATTGACTACCTATTTTAAAAAAATGGATCTCTACGTAAACAGGAGTGCTTAAAGAAGGAAAGGTGAAAACAT